AGGAGTTTTTTCAACAGGAAACATGGAAGTTGGGGTATGGGTTAGAGCTTTTATCTCATGGAAAAGCTGAAGTTGTAAACTAAAAGCAACATTTGGTTTTTGTGCTCTACCTATGCGATAGGAGATAGCCTACTGTCCACTTTTCCTACCACTTCTCACTCCACTGTGCTTAGGGTTTAATTGTGTACATGGAAATTTATCTTTGTGCGAGCCCTTTAAATCATAAGTATATAGCCTAGAAGCTTCAAGACTGGAGAGGCTGGACTAAGTGAGCTGAGGCTTTGAAAATGAAAGTGCTCTTAGGGATTAAATTGGACCACTCCTTTAGTTCCTACTTTCTGTTGTTGGGGCATGGATTTTAAGCACAAAAATGTCTCTTCAGAGAGAGAAATAGCCAGACTACTGAAGTCTTCAGGGGTAGGATGAGTGTAGTTTGGGTAGATTGATTTGAAATGGACATTAAAATTAAAAGTTTATTACATTCCTGTTGGGTTTTGACACAAAAGTGTTTTGAAAATTGTATATCCTAGTAAGGCTTGGTTATTAACCCTTGTCCTCCAAAAAACAACTTGCCTCACTCTCTCATACATATACTCAGCACACTACTGGAAAAAGCAAAAGAACCTTTAGGGAGACTTTGTGTCATGAACTCATCTCTTAGGACTAATGTGAAGCTGGAAAACAGACCAAAATTCTCTTGCAGTGGTATAGCTAGAAAGGCTACAGATATCACCACATCCCAGAAACAGGGACCAGGCAGCTAGCTGAGCTAATCCTCCTGTCTGTTTCCTCCTCCCCTAGGTGTATCAGTCACCTCCAGTAACACGGGCGTGCCAGATATCTCGGGTTCTGTGTACTCCAAAACCCAGGTAGGTGCCTGGCTCTGGACAGAAGTGTTGAAAAAGAGAGATGGACGTAAAGGAGATGGAATTGAAATGGTAGAAATACAGTGGACAAGAACAGCCTTAGAAGAGGTGTCAGGAATCCCATTCTACCTTTTCTAAATGAATGGTCTTATCTACACTTCAGTTTCTCTTAAGAAGTTTCAATTTTAGCCCTCTGTGAAAAAACAAGAGAAATGTAATAGGAAGGTGAGGTATGGCAAATTGTTGTAATGTGTCATGTGATTTACTGTGCAACTATCCTGGCCTTTTTACCAACCTACTCCCAAACTTTTTTCATAACTTTCCAAGAGAATGAATATGAGAATGAAGGGAAACTAGTTAATTCCATTCTTTGTGAGTTAATCTGTAATAAAAAGGGGGAATGGGAAAGGAGACAACCCCTATAACTAAGTGAAGCGTTTTGAGTTATCCACAGGTTTGTGTTATGTTGCTTTTATCCCCCATCAACATAAATAAAAGCTTGTGGTTGCTCATGTCCGTAATCCCAGCACTTTGGGAGGCCAAGGCAAGGATCACTTGAGTCCTCCAGAAGTGGAGATCAGTATGGACAACATAATGAGATCCTCTCTCTACACAAAATTTAAAAATAGCTGGGCGTGGTGGCACATGTCCCAGCTACTTGGGAGGCAAATAGTTTAAAAGCTTGCTATAAAGTATTAGAGGTTTGGAGGAGTGCTTCATGACCAAGACCTTCAACACTTCAGACATCTCAGTATGTATGTATTTCTTTTGAAATATCTAAGGAGTTCTAATTTCTGCCCAACTCCAGGAGTAGGGATACCAAGAGTAGTCAGCAAATTTCACTATGTTCATATATGACATATAATTTTACAAAGTGCTTTCACATTCATCCTCTTATTTGAGCCTTATAACAGAGAGCATCCCTTATATATGAGGAAATTGAGGCTGAGAGATTGAGTAATTTGCCCAGGATTGCATGGCAATTAAAGAGCAATGCTGGAGGCCGGGCGTGTTGGCTCACGCCTGTAATCCTAGCACTTTGGGAGGCCGAGGCGGGCAGATTGCTCAAGGTCAGGAGTTCAAAACCAGCCTGAGCGAGACCCCGTCTCTACCAAAAATAGAAATAAATTAATTGACCAGCTAAAAATACATATACAAAAAATTAGCCGGTAGAAAGAGCTGGCTGTGGGAATGTGGACACAGCCTAGATCCGCACCTGGAGAAGCTTAAGGAAGGTGAATTTACCCACACCAGTCAGAAAGTCATTGGGCAGAAAAAGATGAAGCTAGTCAAAAGGTAGTGACACCTCTCAAAAAAAAAAAAAAAAAAAAGCAATGCTGGAACTGAGACCTGAATATCTGATTTCAGGTGCACTGTCCCTTCTATGACACCATGCTGCTTTCTGAGGGTGGGGGAGCTTGGGCTCAGAAACTCCCAGAATTAGTTTGCTGATCCCTTTTACTCTCTCTCCTCCTGGCCTCCTGGATAGCAGTCCTTTGAGAAACAAGGTTTTCATTCCGGTACTCCTGCTGCCTCCTTCAACTTGCCTTCAGCCCTAGGAAGTGGGGGGCCCATCAATCCGGCCACAGCTGCTGCCTACCCACCTGCCCCCTTTATGCACATTCTGACCCCCCATCAGCAGCCGCACTCCCAGATCCTTCACCATCACCTGCAGCAGGATGGCCAGGTAATAGCCCCTTTCCCCTCTCTCCTTTCCCTTCCTCTTTCTTCATATCCCTTAAAACTGCCTTCCCTTTCCTTTTCTTACCCTTCCTCACCACCACCTTCACCCAATCCCTCCCTAGTGCCAGCCATGGGCCACAGCACATACAGACACAAGCGCACATAACATGAGCGGCCGGTAAAGGAAATTTCAGCGAAGGGGCCAGATGGAAAGCTTTTTTTGCCCAATTCCTTTGGTGCCTCTCTTCCACACCTCCTCCCATGCCACAGTCGTCCTGGTCCCATCAGACCTGGGTCACACCTCCCCTCTTACCTCTCCCAGCCTTCCCCCTTCCTTGGCATTATAGCTTTCCCTTCTAATGGTGGAGTTCTATTGTCAAAGTTTGTCCCTTTATTTTCCATATATCCTGGTTCTGCCTCAGCTACCATATTTGCAGATGATTCTCTGTTGCCAGCGCCAGCAGGAGGAGCAGGTAATGAAATTGAATGATGATATGCTTGAACCCACTCCTTTTCAGTCTCCATTTCACCTCCACAGCCTCAGGGAACTTGAAGAGAAAAGACTGCGCGGTCACAAATCGGGATACACAAACACAAACACCTTGCTGAGCTCTCTGGCCTCCCTTCCTCTCTCCTCCCGTCCCCAACACCCTCTTTATATTTCTGCCCTTCCCCAACTCTGGAAAACACTTGGGTTACTGGAATGGAAAAGATTATTGGGACAGCATCTGAAGCCTGAGGCCTCAGACTGTTTCTCCTGCCTTGCTTGAAATGGACTCAGATGTGATGTGTGGTAGGGGTGGGGATTCGTGGGGTGGTGCAAGTAGCCACTTTAGAGCTTCATCATGGAGCTGGCTGGGGAGCTAGAATAAGGGCTTCTTGCTCTCAAAGACAGCTTTCCAAATTGAGGCATTCATGGGAATCAATGAAAATGAAATTGCCTGTGATCACTCATCTCCAAGAACAGGGGAAGGTGGTAAGGTAATGGGAGAAGGTAGAATTGAAAATAAGTGGAATTGACTCACTATCTTGTCTCCAAAAGTGTCTTGCCCTCTTCATCTTTTCCTTATTTAAAGGTCAAAAATGCCTTCTTGCTTGTAAGAGAGGGGCTCTAGCCACTGTGTAGACCATATTTTATAGTTGAGAACAGTAGTAATGGGAATGGGAGAGCAAGACAATTTGCACATCTCCACCCAAAGATGTTACAAATTTGTCGAACTAACTAGATACTTTTTTCCTCCCCATCATCCTCCCATTCCCCTGCAGACGGGCAGCGGGCAACGTAGCCAGACCAGCTCCATCCCGCAAAAGCCCCAGACCAACAAGTCTGCCTACAACAGCTACAGCTGGGGGGCCAACTGAGGCCCTGACCCTCTTCTCCTGGTCCCATCTTCTGAGAGGGCTTCTCAGCCTGGAAACTATGGAAACAGCATCAAAGAGAGAAAGGAATGTGGGGGGGTTCCGCTGCCCCCCACCCCCAGCGGCCCACCCCATGCCTCGGCTTCATGTCTGTCCCATTCCCATACCATCCCCACCCTGTTGTATGTATTATAGGATTTGTATTTTCTCCTTTTTTTTTTTCCTTCCTTTCCTCTTCCTCCTCCTCCTCTCCCCTTGCATTCAAGATTATGAAACTTTGCTGTGGGCCTTGCCCTTCCTTCACTTTCTCCTGTTCACCCTGGTGGTGTATGGGTGAGGTGGGGAGGGAGGACCCCCAAATATATATCAGCCCAACAGCCCTAAGTCTCCTCCTTTATTATTAGGAAAACAAAACAACAACAAAAAAATGGCGTCATATGAACAGCATTGTCAGATGAATTAGTTGAAGTGTTCTTTTTTTTTGTACTGTGTCCTCAAATTTAATGGATTAATGTGTCTTGTATATATAAAAAGAAAACCTCTACCTTCAGCCTCTGCCCATTCTTGCTCCGTCTAGGATATCCTCAGTCTCGTCGATGACCAGCTTGGTGAATAAGTATTACTGTACCAACCGGGCCTCCTCTAGCAGGCCCCCGAAGGCGGTGGAATAAAATGAAATCTTCGCCCTTTAAGAACTCCTTTGACCTTAATGTGCTAGTAGTATCTTGTCCTTGAGGGGATTCCCTTCCCTTCCCCCCTAAGAATTTCATAAACTGGTGACTGGAAACAACCACCATAAATCTTTATTTCATCCAGAAACTGCTACATCTACAGCCGATTTCACACAGTAAAGGGAGAAGGATAAAGGAGATTGGGTGGAAAGGGGAGAGGATTAAGGAACTGACACCATTTCAAAGGAAAAAACAATGGCTTTGTGGAGTTTTAAGTACAACTTAGATGGATTCGGGCAAATAAACTGAAGAGCAAAGGATGCATTGTTGTCTGGCAAAACTAAAGCTTGGGGCCCATTACTCCTAGAAATAGACTAAAGTACTTTTTGCATCTTGGGTGCTTTCATGTGGCATCGCTATACTCAAACCCTTTAAGAGTCTTGAGCAAGGCCTGGCGCCTGGATGGGTACAGGAAGGCGAGGTGGAGAGACTTTGAAAAAATCAATGATAGGAAAAAAGAGATACTTATGGCCCCAAACTCTTCCTTACCAGGACTTTCCACTATCTTCCCGTCCCTTAATTTCTTACAAATCCTTTATCTTGCTGGTTGCAGAGCCTGCTTGGAAAAATTAAAAGAATCCTTTATGGTTATGACAGACTCCTTCCTAGCTGGAGAGGAGGAAGTTATTATGTCCTTGCGTCCCCATGCCTTTATCACTACTCAATTCTGGGGAATTCAATACTAGAAGGAGCTTAGTGAAACGTTTTTGTCCACCCCGATACCAGATGGCACCCGAGTCAGTCTAGAAACAAAGAGGACCGAGAAGGAGTCAAGGTGGCTTCCACTGGCCGTCCTCGGGTGTGGTTAGCCTGGGGGTGAGGAAGGGTCTCACACCGGTCCATTAGTGCGGTTGGGCTGCCCTCTGGCGGCTATACCAGGGTACCGTCAAGAATCAAATCCTCGAAAGACCTTTTTGGACTGGGTTGGTCTGCAGGAAGAAGAATCAACTTAGGAGGGAGGCGGTTATTGGAAAATGAAAGTCCGTCATGCCCCACTTCCCTAACAGGAATCTGGCCTCTGAAAGGTGGGGTAAAGTAAGTCTTCAAATATGTGAGCCTTTCCACGTCCGGCTGCGAGTCGTTTTACGACAGTGTGGCCGGATCGCGGGCTTGCTTTCCGGCAACGTAAACTGACGCTTCGCTCAATTTCCGACAGCGTAGCACAGGCAGCCCCCTGGTGCGAATGGGCCACGGTAGGAGTTCGAAGGTTCGAGTCCCAATACGGGAATGAGCCTCTTTGACCTTTTCCGGGGGTTTTTCGGCTTTCCTGGACCTCGGAGGTGAGAATAGGTCCAGCTCGGACAAGGGTGGGGCCTTCTGGGGAGAGCTTGACCCCTTACGCCATATTTTTGGAAAAACACTCTCTTCCTCACTGCTTCAACTCCTACGGAGAGGACAGAAGTCGAAACATTGAGCACTCACCCCGTGACCGCGTTGGTCGTTAAGAGGAGAAACAGCACTCTAAGCCTTTCTCCAGCCTGGGATGATGCAACAGGGACACGGGCGGGGAAGACAATGGGGATCCGGGGAACAGGACAATGAGCAAGTGAGCAGGACCTTGGGGGAGAGGGGAGTGGCTGGGGGATCCTGAAGAAAAACCGAGGGGAGGTGTTTGAGGGGAATTGCGAGGTGAGGACAGACTGATAAAAACAAAATCAGAAAGAATTGTCAGCTGTTATGTTTTGATTTGACAGGTAGTCCTCTCACCCTCTCCCCATCTTCCCAGACTCTTGCTTTTGTCCCACTTTGCCACCATGAGTTGAATTTAAGGCTTAAGTAGTGCTGAATCTTGGTGGCCAATCTGCCTCCACTCTTAGCCACAGAGATCCCTTTTTTGGAGGGATGACTCGAGATGAAGATGAAGATGAGGAAGAGGAGGAAGAAGGAGCCACATGGGGCCCGAGGTTTGATGGTCCCCAGCCCCCTGAGGAATTTGGCTTCAGCTTCAGCTTCAGCCCAGGAGGAGGGATGCATTTCCACGATAACTTTGGCTTTGATGACCTAGTACGGGATTTCAATAGCATCTTCAGCGAGATGGGGGCCTGGACCTTGCCTTCCCATCCTCCTGGTGTGTGGCTTTCCCTGAGGGAGAACCTATGGTTTCTAGTGGGTTGGTGGGGGAAATTAGGAGCCTGCCGGGAGTAGTTGGGGGATGGGAAGTGTAAGAAGACTTGATGATTTCCAGGGAGATTTAAAGAGCCCAAGTTCTTTCCCACCCCAGCATCCACCTTCCAACTTTCTGCAGAACTTCCAGGTCCTGCTTCAGAGACACCTGGTGAGAGACTGCGGGAGGGACAGACACTTCGGGACTCAATGCTTAAGTATCCAGATAGTCACCAGCCCAGGATCTTTGGGGGAGTCTTGGAGAGTGATGCAAGACCTGAATCCCCTAAACCAGCACCAGACTGGGGGTCCCAGAGACCTTTTCATAGGGTGAGTACCACCATCTGGGTCTGAAATGAGAGCCTGTGGGAGACCACTAATAAAGGACAAAGACTGGAATCCTTGAGTGAGTCTGATAGACTTGGGTGGAATCGTAGGCTCTCCACTTAGTGTATTTATATGTTTTCTATATTAAGCTTCTTGTAGGATTTTCTTTGGGAGGAAATGGGTGTTCTGCTGTTTCTTAAAAAAAAAAAAAAAATCACTGGTCTAGATGATTCTTGGATAAGGCAGGATTGTTTGGGGAGGGTAGGAAAGTATTTCAGGAATGCTTTTTGGAAGAAGAATACATAAAACAGCCAGGAGGAAGGAGTTGGGAAATAAGAGTATCCTGAATGGAACTGTTCTCTTGGGGAGAGGGGTTTTGGAGCAGTTTGGGGTCCATGACTCTTCAAGTTTCAGATTGGAAGGTATCTTTTTATCTACTGTGGCTTCTTCTGCAGTTTGATGATATATGGCCTGTGACCCCCCATCCTAGAGCCAGAGAGGACAATGGTGAGTCTAGAGGGAGAGGACATTTACCAGTCCTCTGTTATATTATTCTCCTGAAGTCCTATCTATTCTCCCTCCCTGAAGTTTCTTCCTGCCACACTTGTCTTGTCTTTTTATTTTTTTTTTTTAACCGTGGACCCTTTCCCTCCTGGTTCTTCATATCCCTGCCCTTCCAGATCTTGATTCGCAGGTCTCCCAGGAGGGTCTTGGCCCAGTTTTACAACCCCAGCCCAAATCCTATTTCAAGAGCATCTCTGTGACCAAGATCACCAGGCCAGATGGGGTGAGTTGAGAGAGAGGGTAAAGGAAACTGGCCAGGGAATGCCCTGGAAAGGGATCTGTGTAAAGAAACCACTGAACATAACCTTTAGTGATGTTAGGAATATGGTGGGGACTCCTTGTAGATAGTGGAGGAGCACCGGACTGTGGTGGACAGTGAAGGCCGGAAAGAGACCACAGTAACCCGACAAGAGGCAGACAGCAGTCCTAGAAGTGGTAAGTTAAGAGTATGAATCAAAGGGGTCCATCTAAGACTCCCTGGGGAAGGGGAATCTTACTCTTCTACCCTTTAATATTTCTCTCCTGTGTCTCTACCTCAGTCTCTTTCATTTAGCCTATGTGTATGACTTTCTTCCTTAGATCCAGAATCACCAAGACCTCCAGCTATGGATGATGCCTTTTCCATCCTGGATTTATTCCTAGGACGTTGGTTCCGGTCCCGGTAGCCTTGTTAACCCTCAGTGGCCTTCAGGTCCATTCCACCTCCCATCGGTTGCCCATTATCAATACTCTTAGCTTCTCCTGCCACCTTAGGGCCTTGGGTATGTGGAATAGTGAATTGGGGGTATGTCAGTATGTTACCCAAACTGACCAATAAACCCTTTATTTATGCTAATTCCTTGGTCTTGGTTTTGTCAAGGCTATTTCACTTTCTAGAACCGTTTAGGGCTTCCCAAATTATCTTGGGCCCCAAACTTCTCCTTATTTCTTAACTTTTTGAAATTCAAAAAACCTGAAATCAAAACTTGATTTTTTTGTTTTTTGAGACAGAGTCTCACTCTGTTGCCTGGGATAGAGTGCCATGACATCAGCCTAGCTCACAGCAATCTCAAACTCCTGGGCTCAAGGGATCCTCTTGCCTCAGCCTCCCGAGTAGCTGGGACAACAAGCATGTGCCACCATGCCTGGTTAATTTTTTCTATATATATTTTCAGTTGTCCAGCTAATTTCTTTCTATTTTTAGTAGAGATGGGGTCTCACTCTTGCTCAGGCTGGTCTCGAACTCCTGAGCTCAAACAATCTACCTGCCTTGGCCTCCCAGAGTGCTACTATTACAGGCATGAGCCACCGTGCCTGGCCCAAAACCTGATTTTGATAGAAAATGATTTTCCTTAGAAGATAACTACAGTTAATCCTAGGAAGATTTTTAGAAAGAAATGCATCAGATTCCCAAAAAAAGTAGGGATAACTGCTTCCTTGAGTATGGGATCACTGGATAGTTCATGAAATAATTTGAGGAAGTACATGGGGAAATATTTCTTATATTACTGGCTATGTTTTTGTTTTTAGAGTATTAGAGGAAATATAACTAGCACAAACATTACTAGGTCTTTTTTTCATTAAAAAAATTTTTTTTTTTTTTTTTTTTTTTTTTTTACTACAAGTTCTGAGATTTTATCATTAAAAAATTTTTAACACTATGGTTAAGTGTGGGAGATCTTACACAATTATTTACATCCATCCATTCCTCTGGAAGCCCACGAAGATGACTGCAAAGGAATTTTTCTAAAGAGGCATATCACAAGAACAAAGGACAGGAACTAACAGTAATGAAACTTTGTCATTTGGGGGTTATTATATCTTTTGGGAATATAAGTTGTTGATTTATTGTAGCTAAATTAATCGTTCCTTTATGGCTAGTGCTCCATCTTTTAGAAATCTCTTATAACCAAGGTTAAAAGGACTTTTCTTGTTATCTGCTGTAAGTTTTATAGTTTTGCCTTTTCATTTAGGATTTTAAATACCTGGAATTTATCTTTGTATATAGTATGTACCTGGGGACCAATTTCATTTTTCCCCCATTTGGAAAAAAACACATACAAATATCTAAAACATTTATTTATTTATGAACACACACGCACATCCCTATTCTCTTCTGTTAATTTATTTGTCTATCTTTGTGCCTATATCACACTTTTAAACACTATAGTTATGATTTTTTGTTTGTTTTGAGACAAATTCTAGCTCTGTCACCCTGTCTAGAGTGCAGTGGTATTATCAGAACTCACAGCAACCTCAAACTCCTGGTCTCAAGGAATCCTCCTCCCTTAGCCTCCCAAGTAGCTGGGACTACAAGCATGGACTACCACACCCAGCTAATTTTTCTATTTTTTATAGAGAAAGGATCTTGCTCTTGCTCAGGCTGGTCGCAAACTGTAGTTGTATTCAGTAGAACAAGTCTTCCTACCTTTTTATTTTTGTCTTAACTTCTCTACTATATAAGAATAAAGTGATTTTCCTAGTTTTTTAGAATTCCACCATAAATATAAATGGAGCTGGCTGGGTGTGGTGACTCACATGTGTAATCCCAGCACTGTGGGAGGCCAAGTTGGGAGGATTGCTTGAGGCCAGGAATTTGAGACCAACCTGGACAACACTGAGAGATTCTGTCTCTACACAAATTTTTTTTTTTTTTTTTTTGGAGACAGAGTCTCGCTTTGTTGCCCAGGCTAGAGTGAGTGCCATGGCGTCAGCCTCGCTCACAGCAACTTCAAACTCCTGGCTCAAGTAATCCTGCTGCCTCAGCCTCCCGAGTAGCTGGGACTACAGGCATGCAACACCATGCCCGGCTAATTTTTTTCTATATATATTAGTTGGCCAATTAATTTCTTTCTATTATAAGTAGAGACGGGGTCTCACTCTTGCTCAGGCTGGTTTCGAACTCCTGACCTCGAGCAATCCGCCTACCATAGCCTCCCAGAGTGCTAGGATTACAGGCGTGAGCCACCGTGCCCGGCCTCTACACAAAATTTTAAAACTAAATAAATGGAGCCAAAGATCACCAGATATATGAGGAAAGCCTCTAACAAGTGATGGAGACTCATACAAATAAAAGAAGCAACTTGGAAGAAACAGAAGCTATGCAAAGAGATACAAACTTAGCAAGTATATCTTTACAGTACTTAGAAATATGACATAATAGGCCGGGTGCAGTGGCTCACACTTGTAATCCTAGCACTCTGGGAGGCCGAGGCGGAGGGATTGCTTAAGGTCAGGAGTTTGAAACTAGCCTGAGCAAGAGCGAGACAACGTCTCTACTATAAATAGGAAGAAATTAATTGGCCAACTAATATATATAGAAAAACATTAGCTGGGCATGGTGGCGCCTGCCTGTAGTCCCAGCTACTCGGGAGGCTGAGGCAGCAGGATTGCTTGAGCCCAGGAGTTTGAGGTTGCTGCGAGCTAGGCTGATGCCACGGCACTCTAGCCCAGGCAACGGATTGAGACTCTGTCTCAAAAAAAGAAAAAGAAGAAAAAAAAAAAGAAATATGACATAATATAGTGTATCCATAAAACCAGAACAGGATGCTATAAAGAGGAATAGGCTGAGCACAGTGGCGTGTACCATAATCTCAGCTACTAGGGAGGCTGAGGTGGAAGGATTGCCTGAGTCCAGACATTCGCTTTAGCCCAGGAGTTTAAGACCAGCCTGGGCAACATAAACTCTATCTCAAAAAAAGAAAAAAAAGAACAAAATAAGAACTTTTGGGACTGGGTGTGGTGGCTCATGCCTATAATCCTAGCACTGTAAGAGGCTAAGGCAGGAGGATCCCTTGAGTTTAGGAGTTTGAGACCAGCCTGAGCAAGAGCAAGACCCTGTCTCTACTAAAAAAAATAGAAAGAAATTAGCTAGACAGCTAGAATGTGTGTGTGTGTATATATATACATATATATGTATATGTATACATATATATATATATATATATAATTAGCTGGGCATGGTGGCACATACCTGTAGTCCCAGCTACTAGGGAGACTGAGGTGGAAGGATTGCCTGAGTCCAGACGTTCGAGGTTGCAGTGAGTTGTGATCATGCCACTGCACTCCAACCTGGGTGACAGAATGAGACCCTGTCTCAATTTAATATAATTTTTTTTTTTTTGGGTAGAGATGGGATCTTTACTGGCAATGGTACAGGGAGGGAGGAAAGGAGGAAAGGGAGATAGGGTTTCTCACTATTGCCTAGACTGGTCTCGAACTTTGGCCTCAAGCAGTCTTCCCACCTCAGCCTCCTAAAGTGCTGGGATTACAGATCTAGCCACCATGCCTAACACAAATTGTATTCTTGAAAATTGCTAAGAGGGTAGATTTTTAAGTGTTCTTACCACACAAACACAAACAATAAATGGTGTAATTCGTGTTAATTATCTTGATTTAGCCATTCCACAATGCATACATATGTTGTACACAATAAACAATACTTTTTTTGTCAGTTAACAAGAGGAAGCCTAAAAGTCAATAGTCAATACTTTCAAAATACTGAAGAAAATTTATTTTTAATCTCAAATTGTATGCCCATTTAAACTATCTAATGGAGTATAGTGGACATTTTTATACATGAAAATTCTCAGGTATTTGTCTCATGTACTTATTTTTTTTTTATAGACTAATCAAATGCAGGATTAAGTAGGGGAAAAGAGTAGAACAAGGACTTTGATTTCTGACTGTGAACAATCAATTGAGAGAACTCAACTACCCTTGGACCAGACTCATGTACCTATTTTTAGGAAATTTCTAGAGGAAGTGCAGCTTTATTTAGGGATCTCTCATTAGAGAACAGGAGATACAACTCAAAAGAGGGGAAAAGAGGCCCCAGAATGATGAAGGGAGGTTCTATGATACAGCTGTGTTTTAGATAGAACAAATGGCTCAGGCTGCAATATGTCAGAAGGCTCCAGAAAAAATGTCTTCAAAAAGATGAAACTAAAAACCTGGTGTTTTTTAATTATTAAAGATTTTAAAAATTGTGGGGTAGGTGAATTTGGGGTTGAATAAATGACAAGTACCTAGAAAACTAAGCTAACAAAAAATGAGACAGTTACCATAATAACTCCATGGGGGGGCACACAGGTAAAAAATGAGTTAAATTACACTATACTATATGGTTCAGCTTTAGATAGCATTATATTTATCATGATAGCACAAACAGTTTTGTTCTATACAAAAGCATAAATTGTCTGTTTTGGGAGGATGAAGGGACTGGAAACATGCATGTATTTGTTATGGAGGAATAGTGTGTAGCCAAATCCTTATCTTCTGTAACATAAAGTCAGTAGAGGCCAGGTGTGGTGGCTCACACCTATAATCCTACCACTCTGGGAGGCCCAGACGGGCGTTTGAGCTCAGGAGTTTGAGACCAGCCTGAGCAAGAGTGAGACCCCATCTCTACTAAAGAAAATAGAAAGAAAATAGCTTGACAACTAAAAAAAAAAAAAAATATATATATATATATAATATTAGCCAGGCATGGTGGAGCATGCCTGTAGTCCCCAGCTACTTGGGAGGCTGAGACAGTAGGACTGCTTGAGTTCAGGAGTTTGAGCCTGTCGTGAGCTAGGCTGATGCCACGGCACTCTAGCCCAGGCAACAGAGTGAAACTCTGAATAAATAAATAAAGGCAATAGATAGTATCTAAAACAAAACAAAATAACAAGCAGCACTATAATCATATTATTTATTTATTTATTTTGGAAACAGAATCTTTGCTGTGTCTCCCTAGGTAGAGTACAGTGGTGTCATAATAGTTCACAGCATCCTCAAACTCCTGGGCTTGAGCAATCTTCCTGCCTCGGCTTCCCAAGTAGCTGGGACTACAGGTGTGTGCCATTACACCTG